CTCATGCTACATAACTAAGCTCCATTTTATGCTGAATAAACTAAATTATTTATGTATCGTAAATAGAAAACTATCTTACGATAGATTTTTACCCCAAAAGTTTTTTATTAAAATAAATTCGATAAAAATCAAAAAAATCCGATTTAAATAAAAAAAATCTGATTTTTTTGATTTTTTTTAAAAAAATCATTGATTTTTATCCACCCTGGTTGTAAGATACTTATATAATATGATTGAAGCATTATAGTCAAAATAATCATAAAAATTAGTAATATAAAGTACCTACATTTCTTCTCCTAGACTTCTCATACTGTTTATCCAGTGTGCTGTGTTTTTTGAAAGTAACAGGAAACCTTGTCGTCATTTGAGGATGCTTGGTTTGGCCAATAAAGGAGGGGGGAGGGAAGCTGGTGTGAGAAGACTGCTTTCCGGTAGAAGCGGAAGGACTACAAATAGGTCCTCTTATTCATAACTGGGATCTGAAAATCCACTTCAAAGCTTTGCAGATCTATTCATCTTCAGAAAGTACAAGAGGGTGGAAGAATTGTGCCAGATAGGATGGTCAACTATGCAGGCTATAAAAGAGGCTGTACAGTTGAAGAAAGGCTCTCCATTGCCCAAGGTGGAATATTTAAGCTTGTGATAGAATGGAGCAATTTCCAAGCAACCTGAGAAAAGGGATGTTCTACTGAATGCCCACATGGCCTTTGAAACACAGAAACAGCCATTATTCTAAACCGGGAGTGTCAAACTCGATTTCATTGAGGTCCGCATCAAGGTTGTGTTTGACCTCGGGATGAGGGGGGGCAGGGTGTGTGTGGCCAGCTCGATGTCACTCGTATCAGGGGTGCCTGTGGTGGCCCAAATGCTCTGCCAGCAAAAATGGGCTCCCGAGCTCCATTTTTAGCTGCAACAGTCTCCTGCAACCCACTGCCAGCAAAAATAGAGCTCAGGAGGGCCACCTACAGCCCTCCTGAGCTCCATTTCTACTGGCAGAGGCACCACAAGCCAGTCCTTCACTGTTTCCAGGGCAGCCCGGTGGGCCAGATCTAAGCACCTCTAAGTTTCACACCCCTGCTCTAAACATTATTACTCCTCAGTGGCTTCTCATTGGTTTTCTAAGAAGCTCTAGAAAAGGAAGTGGATGAAGAAAGTTCTAGAATGAAACTTGTGAAAGATGAGAAGCAAACAAGACTGGGCATGGGCATGAGATCAGGAAGGAATTACATCTCCAAATTTACTGCATTTATAGAAGAACGTCACCAAGGCGTTATCCTAAAATGGTTCCATCCATCCTGAGTAGGCTTCAGTTGACCAATATAGGAGAAGTGGGGGAAGTTAGGTTTCTGGGTGCTACTCAAGACTTGGTCCTCTTCCCCATTCTGTTGAACATGTATATAAAACAGCTGGGAAAGGTCACCTCCCAATTCAGGAGAAGATTTCATCAGTATGTATAATATATCCAGTAACATATTCATACATACTCACCCTTGGCTCAAATATCTTCAAGACCACTATCTTGTATAGATTTTTGCCTACCCAATCTGAAGCCACCATGAATGGCTACTGAAAGAAGCGAGTGTTAAGTGATGCAAATGGAGGAAACTGAAGGCAGGGATTTTTTGTGAGTGGTTTCCTTATCTGAAATAAGGTAACTCTCACAGTCTTGGCTTTCCAGAAGCTTGTAAAAATCTGGCTGTTCTGGCAGGCCTTTGGGATTTGTGTCTCATAGAGCTTCTGGTGCCAGAAATATTATATTAAATGTTTTAATATAATTATATATTGCATTTCTGCAATTGAACTTCTTGTCACTATTGCATTGACTGTGGCAGTGGCTTTTATATACAGCTGAAGTACCTTACTGAAGTGGCTTATAAATGAATTAATAATCAAAATAAATAATCAACCCGTAATTCAGGCAAAAATTGGCTAATTTCAAAGCATTTAATTAATCAATCAAGAAGGTTCCTGTGCAGTATACTTAATTACCACCACTCCACTTCCCATTTCACAATATTTTTAAAAATATTTCTGAGTAATATTAGACAGCATTTGTTTTCCTGCTGAAAAAGAGTGAGATTAAAACCTCATTAATTCTTAGGATTTTTACAAGTGTTTTGGCAGTGATTTCTGTGAGCCTTAAAAAAGGTTCCAGATATCACATTTCATAACTAAAAAAACCCCCGACCATTTACATGATTATGATTACAATGAAAGAACTGATAGAAATGTATCTTATGCCTTTGGTATCACAAGCACCTTCCTAACATCACTTCCAGTGTCAGATTTCCTTCAGATCCAGACTTAATGAAACACACCCAAGGAAGAAGAGGAAAGTATCAACTTCAAGGAGCAGTGAAGCATCCGGCATCAATAACCAGTCAACTGTCTTACCCACCAATATATTTCACTCAACTAAGAACTGTTCAAGAACAAAAAGCAACCATATCTTGATGCAATGGAGGATGGGAAGAGAGAGCCTTCTGTAAATTTTCAGCTTTTTAATATTAGATGCTGTTGCCTTAATGTTCATCAATTCAACCACTCTCTTGCACTATATGTACAAAGGGCTGCACTCTAAGAAGAAGCAGACCACTGAGAACATCATATCAGCATCATGACCAAACAGCTACTGTAAGCTATTGGACCAATGTTTACCCACAATGCAAACTGAAAACTCCAAGCTCAAAAGTAGTTGTTTTTCAGTTTGCCAGTTTGCACTTTATCCCCTCTAGAGGAATACACCGGTTTCTCAGCCATTAAATGACACATCCAGAAAGGCAAATTTTACAAAAATCCTTGAGGAAGCTATTTATACAAGCAGGGCCATTTTAACCTCCACTGTTAGATGAAAATCTCTTAAATTAGTTGAAATAGTGAATAAAGATGCATCTAGATGTTTCCTCCTCTGTTTTTATTTTCCTAATTAATTATGTAATTATATGTTCCAATATTAAAATGAAGCAAAGACAAGTTGTGAAAACACAACACTGTCTTTGAAGGGTGTTTTTGTGGGTATTTTTTTTTTTTTTTTTGCATCGTTAACAATCCACTAATGGAATTGCACTGTTACTTGGCTGCTCCTGGGTTCTGAATAATTTAGCTGGAAACTCAGCTTTCTCTTCTGTACAATGATCAACAGAAGAAAGGCTCCAATAACTAGATGACATACAGAAATATTCAGGTTGACTATGAAGCCAAAACCCGTTATGAGTCAATGATGTTCCTTGAAAACTGACCTGACGTATGTGCTCCAAGTTACCAAGTTGGGAATGGTACCTTTTGAAAGCAGATACTTGTAACAGTAAGAAAATAAGCCATTATATACAGGAAGATGTAAGAAGTCACAAATAGTGCAGGGCTCTCTGATTTTCAAACACCTGCTTTTCTAGGCTAAGACTACAGCACTCTTAAGGAAATCTATTCAGACTTGGCGCTCCAGTCCTGTAACCCTTTTTCCACACGAGTTCTCAAAATAATTTGGCTTCGGAGAAACCCAGAATCACGTGGCAACACAGAGAAAGATAAACTGCTACCAGTCAAGTGCTTAAAGTACATTGATTCAAGTTCTAACAGCAAGGCCACTCTATATACAACAGGCAACCTGGTAAACAGAGCCATGCTGTATGATTCCCCCCCCCTCTTATCTTCACTAGTAAAAACCTCTGCTCTTTGTCTTTTTCTTTTTTTGTTTAAACAGACAGGCTAGTTAGTTTATCCAGGAAATCAGAGGCAGAACCTGGGAATCCTCTGATTATCAGGTACCCATAAGGAAAAGGATCCCAAAAGGACTCCTGCCAGAGAGGGGAAAGAGGGAAGGAAAGATGCTTGCCTTATGAGTACCAAAGCCCATCCAGGGACAGCCCAGACACAACTCCTCCAGCCATCCTTGATTACAAGAATCAACTTGGGGGCTTGTGCAGAAGCCATCTTGGGGGAGGAGGGGGGGAAAACCAGGCTGGTTGGGGGAGGGGCTCAACTCTGAGCATCCTAGAGATACGCACTTACAGATACAAGCACACCTTTTTTTTACACTCTTTCCCAAGCGCCCACACACACACGTTTCTCTGCCTGTAAACATACCTCTGGGCAGAGGTAGGTACCCCAGCTTCTCCCATCTACATTGCAAGAACTTGCACCCACCTACGCCCTACAAGACACCTACGCATAAAAAAATTAAAGGAAAAAAAAAAAAAACCCCAAGTCCTCACACAGCGGCCGCTGCACTCAACTGAGGATCACAAGAGAGCCTACTAAAATAATAAAAAAAAAAAACACCGCCCGGGCACGGATGGTGTGCCAGCCTGGGATGCGCTTCAGAATGGCAAAGAGGAATCCATGCAACCGTTCGATATTGGGGGGGAAGAGACAGACATGATAGAAGGAACACACCCAATCCCCCGCCTCGACGACAACAAAAGAAGGGTGCCGGACCAGAAAGGAAAGGGCAAGGTCTCCGCCCCACTCCTCCTCCTCCTCCCGCCGGGGTTTCCTCTGTTTTCCCCTGGATTTTCCCCATTCCCCTTCCAACAGCGCGGGGGACTCGGGTTCTTCCCTGGCCCCGTTCGCTCCCGCTCACCGCCTGCTCGTTCCTGGCCGTGCTGTCCGTTCTCGATGCCGGCTGTCTCTCGGCGCCCCGGGCCGGGCGGCTCAGGGGACGGCGCGGCGATTCCCCCCGGCCCCAGCCCAGCCCGGCCCGGCCTCACGCCGAGCGGTTTCTCAGCCACCAGTAAGGGCGACCCCTGCGCGCCATCGCGGGCAGCACAAGCGGAGCTAAGGCGGGAGACCCGACTGGCGGCCAGACGAGTTGCGGGATCAGGCCTGCTTGGGCGCGCCGGCAGCTCCGCCTCTTGGCCCGCTCAGCACCGCCCCTGCCAGCCCCCGCCAGCCGTTCTAGCGAGCCTGCTCTTTTCATCAGCCCCATTTAGTTCAGCCGACGGGGAGGAGGAGGAGGAGGAGGGGGTGGTGGTGGGGCTGAGGCGCTTCTCCGAGGAGTCACGTGATGGAAGATGGTGGAGCATCTCCGAGGCTTGGTGGGAGTCTGGACTCTTTGAGAGGACCGGAATTCCCGGTCACAGGAGTATCGCCCATCAAGCAGGAAAAGATTTGTGAGAGACTCCGTACCCTTCTGCTTCCCTTACCCTTCTGGTATTCATATACATACGGCGAGCTTTTTTTTTTCCCCGTGTAAAGAGAATTCAGCTCTTTTCAATCAGAATAGAGCTAGAAGGGACCTTGGAGGTCTTCTAGCCCAACCCCCTGATCAAGAGGAGACCCTACCATTTCAGATGGGTGGCTGTCCAGTCTTTTCATCCAGTGATGAAGCGACCCTGAGCCTTGGTGGCGCAGCGGACTAAAGTGCTGTTAAGTAGCACTTAGCTGCCAGCTGCCTGCAATTACTGCAAGTTCAAATCTCACCAGGCTCAAGGTTGACTCAGCCTTCCATCCTTCCGAGGTAGGTAAAATGAGGACCCGGATTGTGGGGGCAATAAACTGACTTTGTATAAAAAGAACATCGCTTGGGGGGGAGGGGCGAAAGCCCTACTAAGCAGGTATATACAAAAGTATGAAGGCTATTGCTTAAAAGCATTGTAAGCCGCCCTGAGTCTCCGGAGAAGGGCGGCATATAAATTGAACCAATAAATAAATAAAATAAATAACCCACAACTTCTGAAGGCAAGCTGTTCTACTGGTTAAGTGTCCTCACTGTTAGGAAGTTTCTCCTTAATTGCTTCTCTCCTTGATTAGTTTCCATCCATTGTTTCTTGTTTTGCCTACAGGTGCTTTGGAAAATAAATTGAACCCCCCCCCTTCTTTGTGGCAGTTCCTCAAATACTGGAATACTGCTATCATGTCACCTCTAGTCCTTCTTTTCTCTAGACTGGCCATACCCAATTCCTGCGACCGTTCTTCATATGTTTTTGTTTCCAAGCCTTTAACCATCTTAGTCTTCTTTGTACTTTTTCCAAACTCTCAACATCTCAACAACCCTACATGAAACTATAGAACTTCACAGCATATCAAAAAGCAATCCAGGATGAATTTAGCTTCAGGGAAAAGTGCATTTTCTGTATTTCAGAATAGCCTCAACTCTTCAGTCAATTAAAAGGAAAGAATTCTCTTTTTTCACAGTGCAACCATAAACCTTCCAAAAATGAACATATATATATCTAACAAATCTACTGAAGCACTCTTTAGACATTCAGTTGGCGATGGCAAGTCATGGGCCCATATTTATGGAGAGAGAAACAAGGTAGCTAAAGCTACAATGATGTTGCCAAATTAAAAACAGAGGGAGATTTAGTGTGGTATTCTGAAATCAGTGATCTTTCAGATATAGGTAGAGACATACTGAATTAATATTTAATATTTAATATTTAAAATTAATATTTCACTTGAAATAGTGATAATAATTTTTTTCTCCCCGGTGTGTACAATCTTTGTAGCCTGGACCATCTGTCATAGTTACTTTCTGGCGCAAAAGAGCTCCGGTGTTTTGGCCCATGACAACTTATATTGGCATTCATCACTATTCTTTTTACACTGATAATGCATCCTACTAACTTGTTCCAGCTAGCATATTTTAACTTGAAAGTGGTGTTAACAAGCCAATAGAAAGTTTGGGGCTATTTGGTGAAATAACAGTAAAGAGAAGACTTTGAGTCTTTCAACCTGGAGTTTGGAAGAATTAAAAAGACTTTAGAAGGAAGATAAAAGAAGCTATCTATACCCTTGTTCCTTCTTACAGGAAAGTGAAGAAAAAAAAACAAGATGTTCTAATATAAGTACTAGCAATGTTCAGCTTTTAAAGAACCAGATTGGTATAGAGGCTAAATTGATGGACATAAAACCAGAGAGACCAAGTTCAAATCTATGATTAGATATGAAAGATCACTGGGTCTGGATGACTGGGCAAGAAGTTTGCTTTCAATTCAACCTATCCCGTAAAACATTGAGGAGAGAGTGCTATATAAGCCATTTTAACTTCCTGGAGATATAAATCTAACAAATGAAATAACCATGATCTTGCCTGGGCTTCCTATATCCTTGGCTAGGTAAGATAATGGAGAAAAGTTCACTACATCTGGTGCCATGTTAATATGCATATGGTATTCAGAGGAAATGAATATGCAAGGACCTTTCTTGCTATTTATTCCAGGGACATACGAAAATTAAAATTACAATCTAGATTAGAAAAAAATCACTGAAGTTACCTTTGTTGAATATAAAAACAAAAACAAAAACACAAACAGAAACTGCATACTGCAACAGCTATATTAATATATCTGGTGCACTAGCCCAGATCAGATCAGAAAATGGTGTGCAAGGTTTTGAGTTCAATAAATCTTAATTAGTAAAATTAGAGAATAATTACACCACTGAGGAATATTTGCTTCCTAGCCCCAACTTCCCTATGCATGACACATTAAGTGAACTATAGCCTACTCAGTGAACTCAAATTAATCTCTTGGGTTGGGTTGGCACAAAATGATAGGGTAAAATATGGTTAGATGCTGTCATGTAAATCCAACCTAAATAAAGGGATGTTTGGGCTAACAGAACTAAATCTGTGGGTTTCTGAATTCAAACATTACATTTAGCACATTTGGTATTTCAGCCCCTGCTAAAATAACAAAGGGGAGCATATCTCTGTTATCAAAGTAGTGGCATTTTTCAGTTGCCATCAAAGTAATCTCATCTTGGTATCCTCAGGAATTTTATTTATTAGCTTGTATTCGCTGCCTGACTGAGTTACCCTTAATGTCATCAATGCAATCAATGTGCTTCAGCTTTCTGTAACATTTAAACAGATAAATGTCCTGGGCTGAGAAGTCCCTGAAACACCTAACCTTACATAGTTCTTGTCCCTGTTTGCACTGCAGCTTCTCTCCTGCAACTTTGATATAAATGGATGAACACACTAGCTCTAAGCACTTAGCAGACTATGCTAATATTCCTGCCCAAACACATTTGAGACCGACTGCAATATTTGAGGGCTCGTGGATTTATTATTTTCTCTTTCCCTATATTGTCAGGCTTCTCAGCACTTTTTCCCCCAGTTTCTCTTGCTAATCCAATGATTCAGCCCAACTGCCTTAATTCTAATACCTCCTGCAGTTTGCAGGGAGTGCAGATATAGACTTTTAGAATCCTTGATTCTACCCTAATACCCACCCACCATCTTGGCATGATTCGTTTTGCCAGTACATTAGGCTGATGAGCCAGCTTGGCTCCTTATGTTGGGTGCTTAGTAAACATCTCAAGTGAATAAATTTGCTGCATTTTACAAGGAGTTTGCAGGGATGTAGCCAAATCAATCAAGAAGCAAACAGTAAGCCAGGAAAACATCACCGTTGCTCCCTAAGAGATGAAAAATTGGGAGGACTGTGCAGGGCTGCTGGAGGTTCAAGACCATGCTTATGACTTCATAGCTCATCTATGTGGTAGACCTGCTGTCAAGAATCAAGCTGGAAGGGAATGTTTTTCTAAGGAAGCAATATCCTAGCATATGAAGAGCCAGTATGGTATAAAGGTTAAGATGCTGACTTAGAAACCAGGGGACTGTTGAGTTCTAGACTTTCCACTAGGCATGAAAGCCAGTTGGATGACTTTGGGCATAGTCACTCTTTTTCAGCCCAACCCACCTTACAAGATTTTGACATGGGAGAAATAGGAGGCAGGAGTATTAGGTATGTTTGTTGCCATGAGTTACATATAAAACAGCGGATTAAACATCTAAAATAATAGAATCAGTTTGGTGTAGTGCCTAGAAACCTAGAAGGTTAAGGTGCTGCCCAGAAACCAAGAAATTGTGAGTTCTAGTCCCACTTTAGGCATGAAAGATGGGTGTATGACTTTCAGCCAATCACTCACTCTCAACCCAACCCACCTCACAGGGTTGCGGTGGGACAAAATACGAGGAGTATTAGGAGTATTAGGTTTGCTGCCTTCAGCTACTTATAAAGTAATAAAGGTGGAATAAAAGTCAAATAAATAATAAACATCTAGCGCACCACTTGCACACCATCAGGATTGACAAAATTGCCATCAATCAATTCCAAAAACAAGATTTACTTGGAACAGCTTACATCTGCGACAAAACACCATCAAACAACATCTGCCTATTCCAGGTCTTGGGAAAGATTCAATAGGTGGATAAAAATGCCAAATCCAGTCTAAGCATCTGGCTGACTATGCAACCAACCGTAATAATAAGGACAATAACATTTCTAAGGGGACCATTTTTGGGCAAAGTAAAGTAGCAGTCTTTGAAATCATGCACAAATAAAATATGAGATTAGGCGGAGGGAACCGAGGAAAAGGGCTGCTGGGATATTAAATCCCTCCCTTTCCTTTCCACAAGGTACTTGGGATGCCTTTATTGTCAATAGAGGGCTTTCCCCCTTAGTCCATTTCAAAGCTAATTGAAATAGCTTTTATTATATTTTAATATCTTGTCTCAGCAGGTCCTACTCCCTCCCCACTTTATAAGATCCTGGAAGTTAAGCAGACTTGATTCAAGAATGGGGCTGTAGGTGTCATTGGGAAATTGAAAAAAATAGCCTAGAGAAGGGCAGTGGCAAATCTTTTCTCTGTTATTACCAAGAAACTACATACATGTGTCAATGAATTATTTTTTGTAATAAATCAATTTTATTACTGTGAGTGACAGTTCTAGAATAAACGTTTGACAAATAAACAAATTCTGCAGTTAGACCAGATGTGATCATCTGGAACAGCTGGGCCTATAAACTTTTGGGATGGCAATGAGCTTGCTTGTGCATCATGCCACTATAGGTTATAACTCCCTTAGGCCAGTAGTTCCAACATTTTTTGATTGGTAGTTGTAAAGTATGCTTCCTTCCCCAACAGCAAGCTATGGAGAACCCTCAAAAATTGCCAGAATATTTTTATAATAATAAAATCAGACTAGTTTATTGAATGGAAATAGTGCCATGATTATGAAAATCTCATATATGAAAATAGGATATAGATTATCTAGTCAAACAAGATTACATTTTTAATGATAACCATCATCCAACATGTATATGAATAAATAGAATGAAACAAATCCTGGAGAGGCTAATAGGAATGATCCTGTGAAAATCAAATCTTATCTTGTGTAGCACTTCAGAGTTGAAGGCAAAAGGGTACTTGGGAACACAGATTTGTGATCAGATTTGAGACTAAATTTGGATAAGCTTACTGATATTATTAATCTCCAATAATTAAAATAAGTATAGGGTTAAAGGTAAAGCTAATGGTTCCCCTCGCACATATGTGCTAGTTGTTCCCGACTCTAGGGGGCGGTGCTCATCTCCGTTTCAAAGCCAAAGAGCCAACACTGTCCGAAGACGTCTCCGTAGTCATGTGGCCGGCATGACTAAATGCCAAAGGTGCACAGAACGCTATTACCTTCCCACCAAAGGTGGTCCCTATTTTTCTATTTTCATTTTTTAACATGCTTTTGAACTGCTAGGTTGGCAGAAGCTGGAACAAGGAACGGGAGCTCAGCGTTACGTGGCACTAAGGATTCGAACCACTGAACTGTCAACCTTTCGATCAACCAGCTCAGCATCTTAGCTTCTGAGCCACCGCGTCTCTCACAAGTATAGGGTTAGGGTTTACTAAAATAAATTTACTAAAGTACTAAAGAGCTATGGTGGCACAGTGCTTAGAATGCAGTATTTGCAGGCTAACTTTGCCCACTGCCAGTTGTTCGATCCTGACTGGTTGACTCTGCCTTCCATCCTTCCGAGGTCAGTAAAATGAGGGCCCAGATTGTTGAGAGTAATATGCTGACTCTGTAAACTGCTTTAAGAGGGCCTTTCCATTCTTCCTTTATCAATATTATTGTCGTTCAATTAGTTACACAAACAAAGAAGTAATAAATCAATTTTAGTCAGCTTCAGAGAGAGCAGTATCAGATTGCGCCAACATAAAAATTAAGTTGATTAGCATTTGATGTCTTCTATATCCGTAACTTGACACTTAGCTCCGTTAGTAGCTTGACAACTAAATCATCAAGAAGTGGGATTAAAAGCCAATCCTATCTGGTAGTCCTCTAGGTTAAATGGATTAAATCTTTCTCCAGAATCAGTATATTGGGTGACCAGTTTATGCCTTTGAAAGATGGCCAAAAATCCTTAAATGCTATTTTCTTTCTCTTTTAGAATAAACAGAAGCATAAGACTTTTAAGTATTTTTGCTCACAAACTTGGAAGAGGTTCTCTCTACAGTTTCAAATGTTTCAAGAAATCTTGAGCCTGGACGCTGTGCAATCAGGAAGCTAAGAGGCAGCATAAACAGCCTAGTGCACTTTCTGTGGAATGTAAATATTGCTCTTTTTTCAAAATTGCTGAATCCAGCAGAGCTTTCCAAGTTTTCTAATGGGAAGTAAAGAACAGCATGGTTTCTTTTCTATAGTCTAAACAAATTCTTTAATACATAGGATTACTATTGGTAGGAAAGGGTTCAACCTACCAGATCTTTCCTCCCGTGCATTTTTATCTCCTTTGGCAATAGCTGGTTTCTAGGGCTTTATTTTTTTAGGGCTTTTTTACTGCATGTAGATGGGTGTGTGTGTGTGTAGGTGTATTCATGTGTAAAATGCTTTTTTTTTTTTTATTGCAAAAGTTTTACAATTACATTTTCACCCCTTTTTTTTCACCCCCCCACCTCCCTCCCCAAACTTCCCGTCCTCCCTAGCCCTCCCTAACCCTCCCCCCCAGACTTCCCTATTATATACTCATAACTAATAATACTGATATATATACCTAAACCCATCCCTCCCCCTATATAATTTTCCCTCTTTATCTCTTTACATTAAAATATTTCTAATACATTGTTTTCAAATAAAAGCTATTTGGTACTTTCTAGTTTGGTATTTGTTCTGAACATATTCTATCTACCTTTTCCATTCCCATTCATAAGTCTCTTGTGAGCAATCTTTTAAATATGCTGAAATCTTCGCCATCTCTGCAAAACTGGCCATCTTCAAAGTCCATTCCTCGATAGTAGGCAAAGCTTCATTCTTCCAATATTTACCTATCAACAATCTTGCTGCTGTTATCATATACAATATTAATTTTATTTCACCCCGTGTAAAACCCTTAACTATACCCAATAAAAACAATTGTGGAGAAAATTGAATTTTTTTCTTCAAAACATTCTGCATGACCCACCATATTTTTATCCAAAAAGCCTTAACTTTCCTACAGGTCCACCAAACATGATAATACGTAGCATCCAAACATTCACATCTCCAACAATGTGTAAAATGCTTTTGACCTTAAGATCAGAAAGTGAAGTACATAACCGACAATAGTTCCTGAAGTTGTGAAAGGTGGCAGGTTTAACTCTTGTGTTCTGGGACAGCTTGGGATTCCATGACCTCCATAGCAATCATGGGCTTGCTAGTTGATCTTGGCCCCAGCTCCCAAGAATGGGCACACACTGAACCCAATTTTTACTTTAGAAACGGTGAGATGTGATCTGGATAAGGAAGATGTTATCATTTAACCTCTACTACAGCGAGATAATTTTCTTATCAATTTGCAGGTTGTGAGGGCAATAAATCTATTATAAGGGCACTTGTAAAATTTCCTGACATTTGATGGACAGCTCCGCCTCGAGTGAGACCAACATTTTTGGACAAGAGGATCCCTGTGCCGCCTCTTTTCAGTTGTGAATTCTGACTCGCAACCTGGTTCCCAGGGGACTATAGGAACTAGTGAAGACGCCCTAGCGATGGCTTCATAAGATCAAAAGTAAATGCAACCGAGCACAGGTATGATTCCATATTTGGACCTAATGGTGGTGATATGATAGTGACATATGTATATTTTTTTGTTTAATGCATTTTCAGATTCCTACCCAGTAGCCTTGTTCAGGATGAGCTAATCCCTTTTGGAAAAAGGATGGGAAGGACAAAACATCTGCAGGGGCTATGATGTTTTTACAGATTCCTTTGCAGGTAAAATTATATACATTCACTTAAGATAAAATGAGTTGGGAAACATCTTGCAGTGTTACTTGGAATTCTTTGTACCTGTAGAACCTAAATGGCTGGGTTTAGATTATTCACGCTTCTTTGAAGCAGGGAGTACTGCCTATGTCGAGAAGGGTACAATTCACCCTCTCTTGAAAAAAGCCATCACTCAATCAAACTCTATTGGGCAACTTCCATCCTGTCTGCACCATTCTGTTTTTGGAAAGTTGATGGAGGAGGAATTAGCTAGAGATATTAGAAAAGGCAGGTTATTTGAGCCTTTTTCCGTCAAACCTAGCAAGAGGAAGGGAAACAACATTGTCATTCTGATGGGTGCACTTTTGTTAGGATCTGGATGAGTGTGCATGTGTATGTGAAGTTTCCGAAAGATACCCTAATTAATTCATGAGCCATGAGCCAAACTTCAAAAGAAATACAGTCATTTATTAGGAGCACCATTTCGGCAATATTCGGATGCAGTTAGAACTAATCCCACGTAGATTTACGTTCCCCTATGACCCTGTCTCTCCCCTCCTCCCTGGCCTTGTCATAAATCACATTCTTCAATTACCCACTCTGGCTGGCTGTGAAATCCAACACCCTTCTTCTAATTGCGGAAAGAAAGCATGTATGGAATGTAGCTTCCATTAGGGAAATCAATTAGCTCTATCAGTTCTCCCTCCCTCCTGCTCATGGCAACTTGAAAGCTTTGCAAGTTGGAGTGTGCAGCACTCGTTTTATTCCATCTCTCAGCAGTATTGTTGACCTTAATATCTTACTGCTGGTGGCACTTTTTTTTATAGTAGATCCATTCTTATTGGATAAAGAGCTTAGGAGAAAGAGCAACCAAACCTTCAGATGCTTCATGTTTTGGGATGCCACAGGGTTTGGTCTTGTACCTCAGATGAATGGGACAAGATCATTAATAACTATACAGAGTGATGTCAATGGTATATCGCCAATTCAGGCCAAGTCAGATGTGTTGTAGAAGACTTACTACTGCAAATGGAGATACAAAAATGGGCTAAACCTTATCACAGTGATGGTTAACCTTTTTTGGTGCCAAGTGCCCAAAGTGTGAATGCACATGCACATACCAGAACCCCCAAAATGCAATGCCAGTGCCCCCCACGCATGCGCCCCATTTTGGGCCTGGAAAGCTTCCTGCACCAATCTGGAAGCCAAAACAGGGCACAGGGGCACCGTGTGAGCCCCCCCACATCCTGTTTTGGGCATGGAAAGCCTCCCGCACCAACCTGCACCCTCTCATGCATGCACCCCATCCCCCGCGCATGCGTCCCTACATAACCCTGCCCCCCCCGCATGCGCGGCAGAGACCCAAAGACCAGCTGGCCAGCAGGAGGTGCATGCGCATGCGCGGTGGAGCTGGGCTGGAGTGATGGCTGGCGTGCCCGCAGAAAGGGCTCTGCGTGCCACCTGTGGCACGTGTGCCATAGGTTCGCCATCACAGCCCTATCAGGTTAAAATGGCTGAATATCCATAAAAATTCAGCTTCCAAGAAATTTAAGTTTCAAGTTTTGTTCTAAATAAATCCATGTTGCCTCTGAAGGAATTCTATGAGTTGCTGGTCCTCCCTGACTCACAGTTCCTATTTGAACAGCAGGGGGAGGCTCCAGCTAGGAGGCTTTTCCCAGCACCAGCTGATGTGCCAGTAATGCCCTGATCTGGAACAGGAGGCGTTGGTGACAATGAGTGTCACCACTTGATTGGATTATAGTACAGCAATACATTCTACACGAGCCTCCCTTAGAAGCTATAATGATGCAAAATGCTGTAGCTGTAGCTATTAAAGCCTGCTGCTGCAAAAACAAACACTGATTCTATGGTTGCTGCATTACCAGGAGGTGTCCAGCGTTGGCACTGAGTGAGATCAATTATTGCTTCCTCCAAAGAATCTGCTTGCCCTGTCAGATCAAGAAAAGGCCTGCTGGGGGTTCTCGTCTTCCCTCCTCCCTCCCCCATCTTGAGAGATAGGAGGTACATGGCAAAAAGGCAGGCGTTCTTCATAGAGGCTCCGATATAACCCAAAAAAAATGCTGCATCCAGAGACGTGCTTGGCTCTTTTCTGCTGGCTTCCAGAAAAAGCTTTCCAAGCCTTTCTTTTCTTCAGGACTTTGAAGTACAGTCTAGATATATGCTCCCATCCTTTTGCATTTATAACATTGATGGGTTGTTTTATTGGTGGTCTGAGTGGATGTGGGTTTTTTAAAATGATTACTGATACATACTGTCCAGAGTCTGGAAATTGTGGTAGTTTAGAACCTTTTAAAAATAAAATGAGCTAAGTAAATAAAATAAGATGTAATATAGTGCCAAGCATCTTAGAAAACAATTTTCTTCTGAAAAATCAAATCAGTTTTGCTTTTTCTGCAGGGTTTGAAACTACTGTTGATGTAGTACAGATCTTTCACCAACCATAGTTCAAGCAAAACATTTAATACTTACTATTAACCACAATACAATATACTTTCATCATCATTGATTTTAATAACCAATCATTTATGGTTCAGAAAATCACATTGTTCGTTTCTTGTGTCCCTTCACATGGAGGTGTGTGTAGAAGGGGCACTATCCACAGTCTCCAAAGCCAAGAGCTCAAGCCAGTGCCACCATTATTCAGGGGGAATAAAAATCAGCCATCAAAGCCAGGATAATAATTGGGGCACAGCAGCAGGGAGCACACAAGAAGGGCATCTACTTGGGACAAGAACAATTTTCTTTCATAGAACACTGTATTATAATTGGCAGTGATTGCCACAGAGAGTGCAAAAGGCTAGAACACCTAAGGCTCTTTCCAGCAAGGCATCCAGCCCCTTCCTTCTGGAAAAAAAAAAAACAGAGCAGGAAAAAGGCAGGGGGAAGAGAAGGATAAATTCTCACAAACACACATCAATTATTCAGTTTTGTCCATGGCCCAGTAGGTGAAGATCACAAGAAGAACTTTATACATCAAGCTCCTAGGCCACCAGGAGACATTAAATAAATATATACAGGATCTGCAGTTGGCAAAAGAGTTTAGTCACCCATGTTCACTCTAGTTGTCTGCAAAATACAAGAAAAGCAAAAGATCAGGAAAATCCTATACTTTATGAATTACATATTGCTAAATCAGTTTTGTGTAATGGTTGGATTAAGAACAAGGAAGTCTGAGCGCCAGTCCTCCCATGAGCTTGAAGCCAGCTGGTGAGTTTGAACTAGTCACTCTCTTCTCAGTCTAAGAAAGACGGTATCGGTAAATTATTTCTGAAAATGCTACTAAGAAACTTTATTTAGTCAGCAGAAATCAGAATTGACTCAAAGGACCATAAATAGCAACATTCCCTCTAAACCTATTCCTTAAACATGATTCCAAAATTCATTAAATTGGGGGTGGGGAGTGGGGGCAGCTTTCCTCAGCCCCCCTTACTTATGTCCTGAGTGATCAATGTCTCAATGCCAGCCATGACAGTTATGACTATCATATTTCCTCACATATCATCAAGTAACAGATTTGTTTATGTGCAGTAATGTGGGCTTTTTAAAAACAAATATTACAAATCTATCTGTTTGCGATAATGAGAAAACACAACAGTCTTGGATGAGAGTAAGGAGCACTAGAAAAAAAGCCCAGGAGGATGAAATGAAAAATTCAGATCAGTGCTCTGATGTAAATGGAAGACTTTCCCTGGAGAAAATGGGTTGAAGCCATACAATCTTACTAAAACATACTGAAAAGTTGATTTCTTGCCTCTTTCCAACTTTTGGAAGTTGGGGTGGCTGTAGATGCCCCTAAATTCACAGAAATATTGGGAACTGCTCTTTATTGTATTAATATAACTGCCTGGGAAACTGGGACTGTAGTAAAACTTAGAAAAACGGGGATTGTAAATGTATTAGGGCTTTGTTGAAAAATAACTTTTTGCTTCTATACGAGAGTTGAAAATCTGAAAAGTTATAACGAGCAGACTATCTCATATGGAGAAAAATAAGAGTGGCTTACCTGCAGGATTGCTACAATGACTCCAAAGAGTCCAATGGCACTGCCAAAGATTTCCACAATTAGGATCTTGACAAAGAGGCTGGGATTCTGGGCATCTGCTAGTGCAGCACCACTTCCCACAATGCCCACACATACACCACAGCAGAGATTGCAAAATCCTACGGTCAAACCTGCCCCAAACATGCAGAAACCTACATAGAGAAAATGGCATTAGGAATGGGCAGTATCCAATGGCATTTTCAAATTGTCAAGCTTTCAGGACTTTTCCTTGAGAACAGTGGAGTAAAAACATGATCTGAATGTCCAGTTCATATATGAAAACATATATGAAAAGTTCATATATGCCTTTGAGGTTTGCCATAAGAACATTACTGCTATTATGGTGGTTTTGAACCATACAGATACAGCACACATATTATTCTGATCTCTTCAATGGTAATCTGATAAACCATGGTGACGCAGTGGCTAGAATTTAGTGTTGCAGCCTAACTCATTGCTCATTCCAAGAATTCGATCCTGAACAGCTCAAGGTTGACTTAGCCTTCCATCCTTCCAAGGTCGGTAAAATGAGGACCCAGATTGTTGGGGGCAATATGCTAACTCTGTAAATCTCTTAGAGAGGGCTGAAAAGCACTGTGATGCAGTATATAAGTGCTATTGCTATAAGTGCCCACTCCAAGGAGACAGTCAGCACATTAGAAATTGCTAGTACAGCATGGAATAACAAGAAAGTCAGAAAAGGGGAAAGTCAACTTGTAGAATCCACATGCTCCTTACTGGTTACATACATATTGTTTGATAGTTTAGCAGGATAAAACTTCTGCAATGTTTATGTAAAGACATAAATCCAACTAAAAAAGGGGCAGAATTTGGTGATAAAAGTCATGCTTTTTGGTGGGTTTTTCCAGATTCAATCCCTTATAAGGCTGGGAAAGATTTGAAATCCTGAAGGCTAACATAGACCAGAATGAGAAAATGTGATGGACTTATAAACTCCTTTGATTAGATTCCCACAAGTAAAAAGAAAAACTAGTTAAGATATGGGTTGTCACAGTTATAGTTAATGCATTAATCATAGGGCACTATACTTCCTATACTTATACAGATAATAGCATGACTTGGAAATGGCATTTCTTAAGTAACTAGGAATCCATGATCCTCCTACAAAGGTAAGAGCAGTTTTTCCTACCCCCCCCAACCCCACCCCCACCTACAAATATAGCCTACCTGCATGATAGTTCCGGGGACCAATTTGCTCAGGGGTTCTACCACTAAATTGCTGCAAGGAAAAAAAGCATTCTATGAAACAAAAACATTTTTCCAAACAGATTAGAAAAATATCTCCCGCCAGAAGGATTAGATATAGCAATTATAGCCAACCCCACGAGACAAAAACCAGGTCTAATATGTGCCCCTGCTCCCACCCCCAGTGGGGTGGGCCTTCAAAAAGCTGGCTCAGATCTATGGTTGCTATGGTGGCTATGAATTTCGCAACCGCTTCCAAATTTTCACATAGGGAAGGCAGATTAAATTCTACCAGCTCCTTAAATCTGAAAAACCAATCCAGACATAGCATCAAGCATCACAGGTAGAGAAGCTGCTACATAGCAGGAAGGCTGGTAGAGTGGCAGGAACCCCAACTGATGCTCAAGGCCCAAATCACAAATAGGGTACGAGCCCTGGCATTAGGATTTACCAAAACTAATTTCTTTTAAAAAATGGGGCAACTGCAGACCGTTTAGGATAGGTTATCTCTTAATAATGGAGAACTTTTGGACCAGTGTTGATAACTTTTGATAGGTAGTTTTGATAGTTAATAACTTTTGGATTAATATTTACTTGGAACCATCTATGGAGTTTTACTTGGGACAAATGAAAGAGAGTCTGCTCATAAAAATAACATGTTTGTAATATTATAATATTTTGCAATATTATTTTTATTACCAGATTCTCTTTCATTTGCAATGGAGATCACTAATCTTGGCAACACTGTCTAATGCTTTAAAAGCATCTGGCCAAGCTTTTATACTCACTGATGATTAGAGAGGTTACCTTAAGGGCGGCATATAAATCGAACCAATAAATAAATAAAATAAATAAAAGCTTGAACCATGTTTGCTATTTGCTATCTGTTATCTGCAATTATTCACTATTTAGCACAACACTAGAAATCTATTGATTGACTTGATCCGTATTATGGTTTGGAATACTATAATCTACTTTGCTTTCTTCTCAGGAAACAAATGGATGAGGTTAACATCAAACCAGACATATCTGAAAAATGGTACAGTCAATTTAGCTGAGAAATATATCCCTCTTATACAAAACAGTTAATACCTCGGCCATGTTGGTAATCACAATAGCCATGATGATTCCATAGATGGCCACAGCTTCACAAAAGATTATACTGCAAGGAGAAAGAAGAGTTTATCAGTTGAAGTGGGGCAAAAAAAATGGCTATCTTCCCCAGATTATAGAAGGAAGGAAGGAAGGAAGGAAGGAAGGAAGGAAGGAAGGAAGGAAGGAAGGAAGGAAGGAAGGAAGGAAGGAAGGGCTTTTATGCCCAATGCTAAGGTTCTATCCTAGATGCCATGGTGACAATAGGATATACTGTACTGCTGGATTTTGTGCCACAAAAAAGCCTATTACCAGCTTCATTCTGTGTATGCTTACACCATGATTTTGGGGTAGGGTTTGGGGAGTGGGGTGTCACTGAAAAAAACATTTTTCCTTTAAAGAGCTTTGTTCCAGTAAGTGCCCCGAAGATTTAATTACACTGCTATCTGGAGAATAACATTGTCCAGTGATCGGATGTCCTGGTGACCTTTGTAGTTTTTAATATGTCTGTAATACAAATGGAGAAAAGAGCTTTTCTCACCTGACCAAATTTTTGGTTTTGATCCTAGGTGCTTTGACACCACCTCCAATGATGCTGGATCCAGTGATGTAAATCCCCCTAAAAACAGAATGATTAGATGGACAGCCTTCACCATGTTGCACAGATAATTTGGAATGTGCCAGTAGATGGCAAATAGTTTCTTCAATTATGTCTGTGGTAAATTATTTATTCATATAATGCTCTATGCCGATCTGTATTTGCCTTTCCATTATGCAAGACAAAGTATCTTACATGGGGCCCTCAATTGTTTCCAGGCAAAAATTAACTGGGTTTGAGGCTACTTAGTTTCATGTGCCATTTTAATATCAGTAAGTGAACTCAAAAGCAGAGGTCAGCTGCACTTGCCAGCTAGCAACAAGAAGAGAAGAGAGATATGAAGAAAAAAGATACTCACCATGCCGCTCCCACCACTGACAATGAAATGGATAACCCAATACCCAGGTTAGACCACATATATGGAGAAGTCTCTGTCAGGAACCTATATACAGAAGAATATCTTAAAATACGCCGTGCCCCACCCATTATGGTATATGAAATCACTGTTCTCACAAAAGAAGAAAAGGAGGAATCCTAGTTAAAAACACTGAGAAAAGACTTTATAGTTGTAGCTTGGCTATAACAATTAGTCTATTATTCCATGTCAATGCGCAAAAATATATCTTTTCACTCATGCAAACAGGCAGTAATACCATATTAAGAAAAAAATTATTTCTGAATGAGACAGAAAAAAACTATAAGAAAGTTGTGCTGAAGGTAAGTGTAGCTAAACTGGCATAGTAATAGATAAAAGCTCATGAAATGCAGCAAGCAGTGAACTTGTTTGATCCATCACCTAACAGGACACCTGCAAATCAGCTCCAGAATTATATTCTGTTTCCCACTTTTGCTAATTCTGGAACTGACTGGCAGACTTATATTCTAAGACTTCTTCTGGATTCTTAATTCTATCCATCCTGGATTGATGAGCATGCATGGACAATTCAGTCAATAAATGTTAGAGTAATAAAAGCTTAGGAGCCGAAAGAGTCAGAAGCTGTAAATAAATTGAAATATATTCACTTCTATTATAATAATACATCTGTAGCTATTTGTTTTGGTCAAAAGTTTTTAATGGAATCAAGAAAATTATATGGCAATTCACCCTGTAGCTAGTTTATTTCTGCATTTTCAAACATAAATTTATGTAGAATAGAATAGAGTAGAACAGCTTTATTGACAACTGTGATTAGATACACAAGGAATTTGTCTTTGATGTATACGTTCTCAGTATACATGCAAAAAAACAAAGTAATAATAATCACAATAACAAAAGATAATAATTATAATAATGATACCAATAGAGAAGGTAGTGGAACAGATGAGAAGGATAAAAATGATACAGCCATACTATATGGATAATATACTTAGACATAAGATAGAACTGTGGAAATTAAGTGTTCAGCAGAGTGATGGCAAAGAAAAAAACTATCTCTGTCTCTAGTTGTTTTGGCATGCAATGCTCTGTAGCAGCATCTCAAGGGGAAGAGTTGAAACACTTTATGTCCAGGATGCACTATAAGAGATTAATTCAATTTCTATTAGCTGCCAGTTTTGCCATTGCAAAAAACTTGGTAAACTAAAATATATCTTTCTTTGAATCAGTAGTATATAAAAATGAGATAAACTGCATTGACTGAAGTTAACAGCAAAGGTCATTTTATTCTTTTCTAACCTGCATTTCTTAGTGGTAATAATATTTTTTCATGATAGTTTACCTTTTTTTATTCAAGTAAGTTTTGGAGAGGAAATACTAAATGTGTATTTTAAATTTTTCTCCTTAGGTTTACCCATTCATGTATATGGTCTCCCAATGCCCTTTTTTACTTTAATTCCCCCTTTTCCTGATTATATTAATATAATTATATTATAATTAAGAATTATTATAATTTTCATTATTAAAACATTACCAAAGATGAATGCAAATCCTACTATTCTGTAATATTCTTTTCTGATCTTTGATGAATTTAATAAAATTGTTTTGGGGCAAGAAGTAAAAGTTTACCCATAAAAATAGGGCACTAACACTGAATGGCTTGTAAACTTTACCTAGCCAAGCATAAGGACAAGCTATTCATAAATAATAATAAAAAAGGTTAGGGTGCCAATTGACGAGTTGGCAAAATGATGCTATTAGCAGAACTGATTAGTAAAAGTGAACAGTGCCATTAATATTGCTGTCAAGAACTGCAGTGTGGGTGCAAACAGGCTAAGCTTTGCTTACTCATCTTTGGGGTGCAGCACTGCCAGATCTTCAGGAATCCATAATCCAAGAATTTGTGAGATACACTGGCCAATTACTCTTAATCTCCATAGCACCTTTCCTGAGCCATCATGAAGAATATCCATAAGCCATTTCCCCCCCTACTACTTCAATCCCCATTTGGGAAGAAAGGGACAACTTACCATGCTACATCAAAGCGAAAGCCCAGGTCAAATATTGTATAGCAGATTCCTGAAAAACAAAAGCAAAGTTGAATGTTTCGACTTTGAAAGCTGAAGTTAGTCCTTACTTCTCAACGCCTGAAACTGTGATGGTACCAGTATTGAAACCATCATTCTCAGAACAGGCAAATAATATCAAGTCTCCACAGGGGAAAAAAGAAAAATATGTAGGTTTCTTGTATAATTTCTTCATCTAATTTACACCATAAATCTTCATAAGCCAAATTACTTTTCAGGATAAAACTTTCTACTTATAAATGGGTGGAATGAGCATAGACCAATTGTTGAAGACCAAATATGCCAAATATCATACACTATAGCTAGGGGGGGAAAGTCATATATGAAGCTCAGAGTGGAATTTTCAGAAAAATGAACACTTCGCAAAATTAGTTAATGACACACTTATGGGAAATATGTATCAGCATATACTAACAGAATATGACAACATAGTCACAGGATACAAGTATTCCATCTCATTTGTGAATAGTCCCAAGCACACTTTTCCACAAAGAATCTAAGAATTTGAGAAGAAAGAAAGAAAAGTTAAGGGAGGGCTTAACAAGATTCCCTATAATATCAAGGAGAAATAAGCTCTTGAATCAGGAGAGCAAGCTTACGTTGGTTTCTACAATTAATTACTTAAGAAAGAAAGCAGTAGATGGCATTTTGATCTAAAGAAACAGAAAGAAAACAGAGATAGCATTACAAAATATGTATGCATTAATTCATACTTTAATCTTTCTACTCAGAGTCTATTGGGGTGGCTATAGTTATCAAGTCAATTCACAAGAGTTTGCATAGTTCACATTCCTGGATATTTAAACCACAATCTAACCACCAAGAACATGAATCTAGAAATATCCCTTTATATGTTGAAAAGAGAGTGAGGAAGTAAGTCATGAATCTGGAAATAACAACCAGTAATTTAGAGTTTATTCAGAAACACCTTGAGTCTCTGTGCAGGATAGAGTCCCGGTTATATTACTATAAACAAAACCTCCTTTAAAAATACATAACTTCTCCCAAGTGACAGTCTTAGCTTCAAGCCATGCAAACTCCATATCCTTTACCCATCTAAATTTAAAATATACCTTAACACGTATTTATTTGTCAGGAAAACAAAGGTCAACATTTTTTTCTTTCAAGTATCGGTAGCTTGCAATTATAGGTAAAAATTAGAGGCTACTAGGTATAGGCATAGCTTTTGCACCTGATGCTTAACTAATATAAATAGAGACTCTTTTGTAGTTACTAAAAATGTAGATTTTGGGCAGAAATATGGAACAGTGTTTCCCTACTTCCAATTATGTCATTAACACTTCAGTGAACTCACAAGCTGTATCCCTACCTGTTTATGTTGTTGGCAGTTTAAGAAATGGCCAGTCCTACCACATATTGTGCTAAAGCCTTCTCTTTCAATTATCAGATTTAAATTACTAAATATCATTAGCAATCAGGTATTTTATACATCTGAAGTACCATGAAAAGTTCTGGAACTTTCAAACTAAAAACTGCTATTCGGTTTGGACAAAGGAGCCCTGAATTAAATTTCTCTTTAACCAAAAAAAACCCGGACAAGTTTCTATGCCTAGTTTCTGAAGCAAGTAATTTCTCTCACAGTCTAATCTTCCTGATCAGATGTATTTATAATATCTAATTTGCATTATGCATTATTTCCCAAATTTGCAACAGCCCCTACACCAATTAAGTCAACAATGGATACATCAATATTTCTTTGAAGATTTTTTGTAAGATTTTTGCATTCTCTCTAATATATCACTAAACTAGCAAGACAGAATTCTACTCCAGAGCCTTCTATTTACATATTTCATACATGCTCATGGTTCATATTTTTGCTTAACTATCATTTCTTTGAATACAGCACATATTTCGGCTAAAATGTAAATTATCTCTGACGATGCCCAAGAAATTATATGAGCCTTTTTAACTCCCAAAGAAGCTTACTAAAATAATATACCTAATACATCTAATACATGTAATACATCTAAAGACTTAATAGGAGAGAAAAACATCCCTATCATTAATCACAAAAAAGACATTATTCAGAAAACACATGCATTTTAAACTGGCAAAATAAACTTCTCATAAAAAAAAACACAGGGATGAAACGAGAATGCATACATGGCAGAATTGCACAATGGCTTTCTGATATTTATGTATCACATGAGACCCTGTGGATAAATATGAACACTGGAGAATACTATTTCTCTTCTGTTATTAAGAAAGAATGGAGCAAATTGCAAAAAGAAGTTTCCAACCATGTGTAGATGTTGGGAGCTTTTAAAAATTCTTTTCTTGCTGAGTGCTAGATGAAAACTTTTCTCTTAAGCCACCCAAACTAACTGTACTGGTAGGCTCAAATAATCAAAAAGTAATTTGGTGTCAGCAGTTACACTGACCTCCAGGAAGTACTAAATGACTGGTTCTGACAGCTTAAGGGATGGAATACTATGTATGCAATTCTTATAGAGCTTGGTAATTGTTGAAACTGTCAATATGAAAAAGGGAGGAAATTACATGGCACATTTAAGGATGCCACTCCCAAAGACTAGCTATATTTTTCCTTCATGATTAAGAGATTGTAACCAAGTATTCTATAGCAACAGTTGCCCAATTCTTATACATAATACCAAGAGAATAGCTAGAATTATGAATAAATTTTACTGAATATACTATAGCATGGGTGTCAAACCCGCGACGTCATGTTGCCGTCGTGTGATGTTTCGCGACGTTTTTTCGCTTCTCAGACCTGGGGTATGCCTAGCCTGCGTGTGACGCATCCAGCCTGCGGGCTGCCAGTTTGACACCCCTGGTATAGTGTTTGTTTGCTACAGTTGCATTCTATGCCTTCTGAACAATCCCCTATGTTTCTACATTCTACTTTAATAGAGAA